CGGCCAGGTCGACAGTGAGTTGGAAGTGGCCAAGGAAATCCGCACCCAGGATCGGATAGCTGACGTCAGCAACGACGAAGACCCATTTGAAAGTGCGTCGGAGACCTAAGTCTAAATCTAGCAGCTGCTGACCGTACGTGGCGATGCTGCTCTGATTCGCTGCACGGAGGCGAGGGCTATTGCGATGAACACGACGAGACAGAGTTACGAATGACGGAGGAAGAACACTGACGGCGGCGCCGGTGTCGACAAGGAACTCGACGGACTGGGAGCGATCCTTGACGAATAGTAGGCGACCGGTAGCGGTATTCGAGGGGCCAACCACACTAGCGGTCGCGACTAGTGGCTGGCCTTCCCGTTTCCCGACAGGAATCGGCAGGGGTCTCGGCATTTGTTCGCCTTCGCACCGAACGCACGGTGATACCAGCAAAGGTCGTCGTGATTGTCACGGCCGGGAGACCTGGAGGCACTTGGGTGGCGTGACGGTGGCCCGGGACTACGCTCTCGTTGGCGGCCACGCTGGGAAGGGGCACCGGTGTCACGGGTCATCACATTCACAGCGGACGTCAGCTTGGCGAGTTCAGCTCGGAGCTGGGCCATCTCAGCCCTGTCAGCGGTGCAGGCCTGTTCCGCATCTGTGGACGCTGTAGATCTACATGATAAGGCCGTACTAGACCGAGCAGGGGCTGCACTCAGAGTCAGAGCGTGAACACTTGTACCGGTGAGTGGGGTTGAGCACGTGCTATCAACCATCTTGTCAGCAAGCGCGGCGCGAGGTCGGCCAGGCTGAGGCACCAGTCACGGGCAAACGCTGTACAAACAGCTTGCGCAGGATAGTCGGGTCTAGAGACTTACTGCCCGAAAGCGAGCGGAAGCGGAAGAACCAGCGTTGCTGGACATATTGCACTTTACTCACGTCGGAGGTCACCAATTTAGTAGTCTAGATACAGTGCAACGAGTGTTAGTTTCCAAGATCTTTACAAGACTGGCGAACACTAAATGTCATGAAGAAAGTGAAGAGAAAGGAGGTTTATATAGGAAAGAGATTGTGATAGAAGACTGTGCAATGAAGTTTGTTGTTTTGTTAGATATCTGACGTGTGCTGTTTGGAAGAAGTGTTTGGATGCAAACAGAACTTACAAGAGATGAGTAAAGACTACTTTTCTACAATAGCGTTGTAGGCGAGGAGTGCGTAACATCAAAAGATGTCGTAATGTGTATTGGAACTATGCTAGCCAAACATTACGTAATGATTATGGTAGCGAAGTACGTGTAGTAGGTATTACAATGTGTGCGAGAGTATGGTGAATCAGTGTTTGTGATGATGAGGAAAATATGACGTGTACATGCAAACAAATGATGATGTCATGATGCGAGAACGTCAGAGACGCTACACCTCAACCGTTCCAAATTCATCCATAAAAGGCATTTCTGAACGCATTTTGTCCATAATATGAATGTTTTGTCCTCATTTTCTTCAGATTATTTGAATTATATTCTGGCTTCATTCCAATATTCCCTTCGTCGCTCAATATGCCATTATGAACTGTCTCACAAAATATGTGGAAATATGCGAAAGCATAATTATTTGGTCTAGGCCTAGAGCCAAGCGAAGACTCTCTGGCAGTTCTCAGCTCCATAGGCATGCCAGCATCACTTCTACATGTACATGTATGTGCTCTGGACGACGGCCCTACATGTCTCAGAAGCGCTAAACTACTTCATAATACATTTTCGCAAATCTCTCTCAAACTAAACCAAACTCTGCGATTCAAACTGCGCTGCAAACCTGAGGGCTTTGTTTGATGCCCAACACGCATGCGCTGTAGCAAAGGGAAATCCCCTAAAAAGCGAGTCGCGAGCGAAAGGTCTGAACCGATATGGCCAGAAAGGTTTTTTTTGCAATTCTATTCGTCATTGCTCACTCAAATCTGGTCCTATCGCAAAAACAATTGTATATCACTGGAAAGCAGAGCTCAATACCTTTCCAACGGTATTATTATCATTTGTGAAAATCGGCCTTGGTTGACATGAGTTACGACAGTTTGTACAGTGATATAATATTATGCACTTCGTACTATTGCGTAGGCCGGGGAGTGAGATATAATAATTATTTCTCTTTTTTTCTTCTTCTACAAAATCCACATATCTCCAGACACTGAGGTGAATAATGGAGTATCTAGCTCGTCATCCACCGTACAGGCACATTTTACAGAGCGAAATAACTCGTCATTAGCACTGCAAGGGATAAGGGACAGGACAGGGTTTAGACCGAGTACAGATGGTGTAATTCATCTATCCCAAGCCATGGTACTGTTCCAAATAGAGCGTGAACAACACCACCAAAATTAAATATAACATTTTCGCTGCGCTCGCCTTCTCCTCATTGGTCTTACCATACCCTTGAAGCTTCCAAGCTGGAAGGCAGTTGGCTTGAGCACTGGCGGTGTGTAAGAGCTACAAGTAGGTCTCAAGTCGTTGAATGTCTCACTGATATGTCAGTTTTGTGCCCTCTTATCGATTTTCTGACTGCTCATTATCTTGCTACAGCCGCGTATAGTTGACTCATACCTCGTTTCTATGTGATTTCTTCTATTTAAACTATAAAATTAATACTCAATCTGCGGACAGAACTGTTTCGTCCTTTGTGGACACTACTAAATTGTAAATACAAAAATTCAAGATATGCGTGAAACTCGACTGGAGGCAGAGTCTTCCGGATCCGTAGGAACGCCAGCAGCCCTTGTAGTTTAAGGCGCAGATGCAGCTCCTAAAGCGGTGGGAGGTGAGTAGATCAGACTCAGCAGGAAGTGATCAAAGAACAAAAATCCATTCGCTGTATCCATGCTTCTCTCTTTCTAGCCGACCAGATCTCACTTACATGCAACTATTTGTTTGTTTGTATACTTCATTTGAATTCGCTAATCCACACGAGTAGAAATGCTCAATGACAAGGCAGCGAATATAATTATTACTATGCTACAGGGAAGGAGGGTTGGGGAGTGTGTTTCGCAATACGGCTGGAAAATGTCCTTCCGCTATCAAACAGGACTTGAACCTGGTATTCTTTGTTTCTCAAACATGCTGTGCTACAGATCTTGATATTTGGAGTTCTATTTGACGATTATCGCATACAGGCAGGCAGCATCAGCGGGTTAGTCAGTCTTAACCCATTATTGACAATAGAGAGTTCCAAATGTAAGTGCTTTGAAGCGGAAGGATTTGTCCAACTGTGCTGCGACCCACAGTTGCCGGTAGTTGGGAACTGTTGTCCTTGAAAAAGGGATGCATGGACGTAGCGAATGAGTTTTCAGTCTGAGACCATTTTGGTGGTGGTTCTGACCTACATGTACATACCTCCTACGATCTATCAATAAAAAAATGAAGGGTGATGGTGTTCATACGGATGCAGAAAACTAGCATTCCAAGAGATTCTTATGCGAGCCGTGAAATGTTAGCCCATATGCATGCTTGCGCTTTTTGGAATAACTAATTACGTTCAGAATACGGTTACTGCCACTTCATTGTACTGAAAAGGTGTTCTTTCTAAATCCTTTCATTGCTGGTGCTCATGTTAGAATAGAAGTTAGGAGAAAAGATAAAAATAAAATGCAATGGAAACCCCCTAGCTCAGACCTTACCTGCCCTATGTCTAGGTCTGCATCTCGACTCCCAGCTTCGGTGGGACACTCAAGTTGCGAATATCACACGGTAGACCTCCCAGAAACTGAAAAAATACAAAAAAAGAAACTGACCGCGTTGCGAGCAATTCGCTCCTGCGTAACTGAGCCACAAGCCCTGTTAGTTCACAGATCGCTAATACTACCTGACATGTTAAATGTACATGCATATGGATCCAATGCCTTCTTCTCGCACCAACGGCATCAGTTTTCGGTCCTCAACAAGCGATGTATCCGCTTCGTTACCAACCAGCTATTCACCTTAGCAATGCTGTAATGTGCCCCAAAGCACCTAGGTACGTCTTGTTATTGTATTTCTATTTCTGTTTTTGCTGCTCTTTTATTTCCATGCCGCACTGAATGCTGGGTGTTCATTTCCAAAGTCCATTCAGCACGTGCGAATTTGTGGGCGGTTTACCACCGCTGACATTGACGCGTAAGTGCATAATAATTAGGGCTGAGTCGGGCAGCATTTTCTTCGGGTATCGGATCCGGGTAGTTTTCCACGCGTAGCAAGGGTACCCGATCGGGTAATGTTTCCATGGTAAGACCACAATGCACACCGGCCCCTTCCCTTGCGCATTGGGTAGACATGAGTGAATTATTTGTACACGTGCACTGTACATGATGTCATCTGCGACCTCGCCCTCGGGTAGTCGGGTACTACACTCATACCTCGGTTATCCGGACCCCGAAGTTACGGGCACTTCCGTCTACCGGGCACTATTTGGGCGAGTTTAGGGGAAATATTACTACTCTTTTGTCACTTTTCGTAGAAATATGGACGTCATATGCCATATCGATGGCCTTTTCCCCATCAAGATGTATATGATTCGGAGTTACGGACATTTCAAATTTACGGGCGGTGCAAGGTCCCGGACTGCCCGGTGTGGTGTCAGATAGAGTTTATTCACAACTAGCAAGGAGGACAACAAACGAAGAACAACATTCCAAGCAGTGTGCGAACACAAACGGGAAGTGTGTACGAACACCAAGGAAAGTGTGTACGAGCGCATATGGAAGCAGGAGCTCTAGGCGGGTGCATACGGGGTGCGGGAGCTGCACCATATACGGAAGTATGCCATATACATCATGCCCCTCCTAAGATAAAAACGTACAAGTGTTTATCTAATCAACAAAAAATAATGTGAAAATTGCATGTGCGTAGCAAATGACATGTCGCGGAGCAGCAGCAACTTCCAACAGACTTGTAAAAGGGATAATTGCAAAAATTATATACATGAAGGTTTTCAACTGCAAAACAATGGGAATGACAATTGAATAGGTACAATGGACATCAACAACTGAACAGAGCGAGTGTTAATTGTACGATTGTCCACGCGTTGAAATAATGTTAAAGGGGACATTCTGTCTCCGGGGACGTTGGCTTGTTCGAGGTGGTACCTGAACAGTTGACTGTGGCGACGACTGAGTCACAGGGACTGCTTGTGGTGCAGCGTCGGGTACGGGAGACAATGCAGGCATGGCTGTTGAAGCTGGAGTAGGAGGATGGTACGGGCGGAGGTAGCGACGGTTGCGCCAATATACGCGTCCACTCGGTAGCTTGACGTAGTAGTCGCGGTGGTCACCGATAGCCACGACAACGCCGCGGGAAGACCACCGTTTTGTCTTCGGGTGCTGAATGTCAACGTGCGTCCCGATAGACAAGTGGGGAAGCTCTCGGTGAGGCTGACTGGGAGGCTGGTCTACTCGATCAACATCATCCATGTCAGATGCGGTGTCTTGCCAGTGGGAGTCGAACTGGCTCCATTGGGCGAGAACGAAGGAGACGAGTGGGCGACCATACAGTAACTGGGCAGGACTCTTTCCCGAAGTGCCAGGAGTATTGCGCCACTCGAGAAGGCCACGCTGGAAAGCATCGGTGTCTAGATTACCGTCATTGGTAGTCTTTTCCACCAGGTACTTCATTGCCTTGACGGCTGCTTCCGCATGTCCGTTCGACTGTGGGTAGTGAGGGGACGACTTGATATGACGGATTCCCCAGCGCTCGCAAAATTCAGCAAATCTGTGAGACGCAAACTGAGGACCGCCGTCCGTTGAAATGACCTGTGGTACGCCTACATCTGGGAACCACCTGCGGAAATGACGAATGACGTCAGCTGACGTGGCTGAGTGACCAAGCTTGGCGATGCATGGCCATCCGGTTAAGCGGTCGACGAATACCAAATACTCGCAGCCTTGGCAACTGAAAAGGTCAGCACTAACACTTTCGAATGGCAAAGTGGGCTTGCGGTCAGAAATGGGCGGTTCAGCAGACTGAGACGGCTGAAATTCACGGCATGCATCACAGCTGCGGACTAGCGTTTCTAACTCACTGTTCATTCCGGGCCAATACACTGTCTGACGGGCACGTCGTTTGGTACGGGTCAGACCTTGGTGGGCTGCGTGAAGGTCGATCAGCGTTGACGCACGCAGAGAGGCTGGGACGACTATGCGTAGACCTTTCAGGACTATGCCATTGTCGGTGGACAAATGTTCACGCACGTTCCAATACGCACGAAGAGGCTCGGGCAGCTGCTTTTGTGCTGAGGGAAATCCGTTCTGGATATACCCGAGTAGCATCTGGTAGTCAGGATCAGATGCTGCCATGTGGTGTCAGATAGAAGCTTTATCTCCATGGGAGGACCAGCCATGGGCTTCAATTGGGAGTCGTCGAATACATCAGCAAACTCTTGCATCAGCTGAGCCTTAACATCAGCAATGTCTGCACTACTGGGTTCAGACTTCACACGGGAGATCCGCGGCCAGGACTCAGGGAGAATGCCAAGAGCACGGAGAGATTGGCATGACAGCAACGCCTCATCGAGGTCTTCATACACATGAAGTACCGTGGTGTGCTGGGCTGAGCCAATGGAGAGCGTGGCAGAAATCTTTCCCAGGCTAACCAGAGAGGTGCCGTTTGCTGCTGAAACAGTGTCGGAATCGACGGCAAGGTTCTCAGGGAAGCCACCTAGCTGGGAAAGATGTGCTGGCCCAATGGCGTCTACATCACTGCCGGTGTCTGGAATCCATGTCATGGCTTCGGCGGTCGGTTCTGTGTTGAGCTGCGTGTGGACACTGAGTTCTAGACCATGTCGAACAGAGGCACGTTGCAACTTAAGTTGGCCGACCTTGCCGGATGCTGTTGGTTTGCCTTTGTGCGGGCACATGGACTGGAAATGTCCGACACGTTGACATCCGTTACATTTGCGTGACTTCGCAGGACATGTGCCTTTGGTGTGGGGACTGCGACCACAGCTGGGACACTTGTCACCTGCGGGCTTGTCTGGTGTAGACTTCACGGGAGCGGGCCGGCTCGCCTTCTGCTGTTTATAAGATGATTTCTTAGCTGCGTGCACGTGACCACTGGAGGGAATGCCAGAGGAAGTTTGGCAGGCTGCTTCCTCAGCACGGCAGAGCTTCACGGTTGCCTCCAGATCCAAGTTCTGGAGGGCCAGCAGCTTGTGACGCACGTCGTCCTCAAATACGCCTGTCACAATGCGGTCACGTAGTATGTCATTGTTGAATTTCAACAGGCCTGCCTTGCAGGGGTTGCACATCGCCTGGTTGCAGTTATGACATACTGAACACCCAGAAAAGTCACACGCGTGAAACAGTTCACGGAGGGCCGTATAAAAGGAGTCAAATGATTCCCCACGCTGCTGCCGTCTCTTGTAAAATTCGATTCGGTCGAGCAGCGGGTTCCTCTGCCGCCGGATGTACTGCTGGAGGACCGGGATGGCATCAGCAATGTCAGCGTCTTCCGGGAAGGCGATAATGCCTTCTCGGATGAAACGGCGCAGGTCCTCATCTAGGGCCTGGCGAAACGCTGACATACGTGTATGGCGGTCGTGGCTGGCGAGACATTGGCATTGCGCATAGTCACGCCAGGCCTCCTCCCAAGCGGTAAATTCTGCCATTGTGGCAGTAGATAACAATACTGGTCGTTCTGCGGACACAGACTTGGGTGCGGGTGGGGTTGTAGAACTAGTACTGGTCTGGTTGGACATCCTTTCCATCAGGGTCTGAAACTGTTGATCTCGCAGTGCAGACGCCTGTGCCTGAGTTGTCAGGAGCTGCAGGAGCGCGGCGACGTCAGGCACTCCATTACCAGAAGGTGCTGCGGGATCGCTGCTCGCCATGCTGATCACAAATGCTCGTTGTGACAGCTCACACGACTACGTCCTACGAAATAAATTGAACAACACTCCTATCTAAAACGAACTAACAAACTAACTGCAGGGTAATCTAATCCAAATCCAACGGAGTGCTACACTGCTACTGGGCCAGGTAAGACACTACAACTAGGTTGGTGTGGACAGAATGGAAACTACAGGACGAAATGTTCACTGCGCCATGTGGTGTCAGATAGAGTTTATTCACAACTAGCAAGGAGGACAACAAACGAAGAACAACATTCCAAGCAGTGTGCGAACACAAACGGGAAGTGTGTACGAACACCAAGGAAAGTGTGTACGAGCGCATATGGAAGCAGGAGCTCTAGGCGGGTGCATACGGGGTGCGGGAGCTGCACCATATACGGAAGTATGCCATATACATCACCCGGATAAACGAGGTATGAGTGTATTCGGTACCCGACTACCCGAGGTCCTCACCGGTAGCACGGGTACCCGACTACCCGTGCACACCATCAATAATAATAATAATAATATCCATATAAAAACCACTCTGTGAGCGGTTCTGAAAAACCTTTACTGGTACTGCCCCGTCGTAAAAGTAAGAAATTAGAACTGGCCCATTGTCCCCCCAAATGCGAACTGATCCACCTAAATCGCGAATGACGGGACCCGAACGCACCAGTAGCACGAGGTCGGGAGGGCACAGGACAGCAATTCTCATAGGGTAACACCACCTACCGCTAGTACAGACGGTCAGTACATGGCCTATAGTCCGGACCAACGTCCCCATCTGCATTCACAGGTAGGAACCTCGTGCTACTGGTGCGTTCGGGTCCCGTCATTCGCGATTTAGGTGGATCAGTTCGCATTTGGGGGGACAATGGGCCAGTTCTAATTTCTTACTTTTACGACGGGGCAGTACCAGTAAAGGTTTTTCAGAACCGCTCACAGAGTGGTTTTTATATGGATAATTTCAGTTCTTTTTCCGTTCCCTCCCCACCCCAACCCCAAAGGTAAACATGATGACCACGCGCGCGAAGTACTGTATGTAGCCATGAGATTGCAATAACACACTGATACATACCAGCCCTCCCCGCCTCGCTACCCCGCACACAGATACACAAACATGCGTATGCACACGGCACACACACGTAGCCACGCACATGCACACGACACAAACAGGAAACTAAGTTCTTCATATATAATGCCATGCAAAGCAGTGGCCACCGTACTTGAGGAAGTCAGTTGTGAAACAAAAATAATGCAACTACAGCATGTAGACAAGCTGACGGCCAAAGCACAACATAGCAAACATGACATTTGCCCAAGGATTGCAGTTTGCAGACCACGCCATGGAAGCAGCGAATACAGAATGTAATATCATACAAAGTGACAAGCAAGGAAGTGGCCATCATACACCAGAAACTTGCAGAAAGTCACACATCCAACAGATAGAGAAGTGAACAGCAATCTGATACAGCCCACACAGGACAAAGCTGACCTGATACTCGTCCCAGGATCGCAAGTGGCAAATCCTTTTCAATGCATAACATGCAGGTTTACGTTAGACGCATGGACAACATCTGACCGTGTCGCCAGCATACAATGTCATCACATGTTTACCCCACAAGTTACACACATGTACAGTAGAAGCACAATGAAAGCAATGGAAAAGTACGATGTGGTTGCTGAAGCATCTTCACACTTCAAATTCAGACTTCAATGTGGTCGTCACGAGATGATATACCTGCAAGATACAAGTGATGAAGAAAGAAAGCAGAAGGTCGTGAGGTAGGCTATGAGTAGCCCTTTCCCAAAGATGCCATAGTTTTTCGCAACTTATGCAGAATTGTCATAATCGAGCATTTCCCAAACTGAGAAGTGCAATGAAATCCACTTGCATGCACAGGAGCAATTTTGCAATATTATGATGCGCAATTCGACACGATCTGCGATGCTGCGTGCGATGTGCCCTGCTGTCATGATGGTGACAGTCACCGCGGTATGTTTTGTCAACGTCGCCCGTGCACTCTTCTGTCAAGTCCAAAGTGCTCACATACTTGGCAATGTCTTTGCTGTGATTAACTTTTATCCTAGTTATGTCACGGGTAACTTTAATGAAGTACCCACAGGCCGTGTCGATCCGCACATCGTCCACTCTCTCATGTACTTGGCCTGCTTTGTCTGTGTATCCATTTCATGTGCGATCCACAAAATCGACTAGACAGTGGGTGCAATACGCTGTCTATCTGAAGACGTTCTTCTGGCGACATCTCGCCATGTACTTGGCCTGCTTTGTCTGTGTATCCATTTTCATGTGCGATCAACAAAATCTCAATGCACTACAGACTAGACAGTGGGTGCAATACGCTCTCTATCTGAAGACGTGAACCATTAAAGGGGAAGTTAAGGCAAAAATTAAAATTTCACCAGTTGTAGTCTTCGGGGTGCTGAGTCGAATGGTCTTGGTCCGAGGAAGCTGAGACGCTCCCTTCCTACTTGAATCCCAATCGAACTCGCGCACTTCCACCGAAACTGGGTGACTGCGCCCTACGAGATGGGGATTTGTATGCAAAATGTCACTAAAAGCGCCATTTCGTTCTTATAAAAGCACGGATGACCGCGATTGGCCCATATGTTGTAGTCTTTTGGACGCTGAGTCGACTGGTTTTGGTCCGAAAAGGCTGCGATGCAGCGTTCCGCCTTTATTCCCAATCGAACATGGTTGAACAAGCGGTCACGTGCTCCTGCGTACACCAGTCACCTGGTCACCGTGCCTGCAGGGTACAACTTACTAGCCTGTTTGACCTTTTTTGGGTGCAGTCCTGTCACTCGAGTTGAACTCGAGTTGAACCTTGGTGTGAAAGTTGTCACCTGCTGGCGTGGTGACCAGGTGATTTGGGCACCCAGGAGCACGTGACCACTTGTTCAACCATGTTCGATTGGGAATAAAGGAGGAACGCTGCATCGCAGCCTTTTCGGACCAAAACCAGTCGACTCAGCGTCCAAAAGACTACAACATATGGGCCAATCGCGGTCATCCGTGCTTTTATAAGAACGAAATGGCGCTTTTAGTGACATTTTGCATACAAATCCCCATCTCGTAGGGCGCAGTCACCCAGTTTCGGTGGAAGTGCGCGAGTTCGATTGGGATTCAAGTAGGAAGGGAGCGTCTCAGCTTCCTCGGACCAAGACCATTCGACT